CCGGCGGAACTGGTCGCCGCTCTCGGTGCGGGAGTTAAGGTCTTCGAGATTTTCAAAGCCAGCTCCTTCGCGGAAGATCAAAGGCGTGAGGCAAGTGGCGCCAATTACACCTAGAATAGAGCAGGCATATAGGAGGATGATCCAAAAAAGTGATAGGAGAAATTACTCACCCATCAGGCTAGTGTTGATAAGATCGATATGGATATCTTTGAGTGTGGGAATGTTTCCTTGATATTTGAGCTTCTCCAGGGTCTGCTTCAGCACCTGATGGTACGTCCTTACAATGTATTTGAAGTGCACCTTGCGCACATTCTCATTGAGAGAGCCGTAGAGGAAGTAGTTGAGGTCTATGGCTGGAGATCCCACATAAGCCAATTGGTAATCCAACTAGAGAAATAAACGGATAGTAAATTGTGGAGTTTGAAAGATTGAATGATGACTCTACTTACAGTCACCACATCATCGGGCTCCTTGGTCTCGTTGTTGATGTGAAACAGAAGATTGTTGATCCACAGATCCGTGAGGTTGAACACACGGAAACCCTTCTCGCTTTCATCAAACATGGCCAGAGCTCTCTGGAGCACATTCTCGGCCAGAATGAACATCTTCTCGGTGATCTCCTCGTAGCCCTTCCAGTGGGCCAGCTCCTCCGCCACGCAGCGAATGTTCACGGGGAAGTAGGTGAGGAAGTCCCGCCTATCGGGGTTCCGGGAAATGGGCGCCTCATCGAAGAACTCCAAGACTTCGGGACTCTCCTTGGCTATAACGGCACTGCAGGCATGCAGCTTGGCTATCTTCTCGACGGTGGGCAGAACGTAGTCCAGGTTCAGGAGACGACCCCGCTCGAAGTTCTCAAAGCCGCTCATCTGCATATCTTCCAGGATAAGGAACGGTTCCGGCGACTCCGTTGTGTAGTAGCAAGCGGGAGCAATCTTGCTCTTGTCACCAATGGACTCCAGCAGTGCTTGCACCCTTGGGAGCACCTCCTTGTAGGAGAGGATCTCACGCTTGAAAAGCTTGCTGCGCTGGGCCACGGCTCCTGTTTGTCCCTTGGGGTGGTCTTTGATGATCACCGAGAACTTGCTCTTGGCCGCCTCGCCTCGCTGCAGATTGAAGGTGGCCCGGTGCATTTCGCTGGCAAAGCCCGCCGCCGTGTCTCCCACCTGGGNGGAGCCCCCACAGTGGCTGAATGCTACGTACTTGGAAACAATTCTGATCACGTATGAAAGTGCACCAGAATTGAAGGTAACGGATCTGAAAATATCCCCCGCGAGTGCCCAGGGAGATCACTATGCCAGCGTTATGTTCCGCACCACAGTGGAGTACACGACCGGGAAGGGAACGTTCAACAAGCCACTGATTGTCAAGACAATGCCCGAGCAGGACGGCCACAAGAAGGACATGCTGAGTGACAGCCATCTGTTTGACACAGAGATTGGAATGTACTCCAAGGTGCTGCCAGAGTTCGAGAGAATACTGAAGCAGACGGGAGATGATACCAAGTTATATGCGGCCTGCATTTTCCATAGCATGGAACCGCGGCAGGTAATGATCTTCGAGGATCTGGTGCCGCAAGGATACATTGTCGTTCGAGGACGTTCGGTTCGGGAGGAGGAGTTGTGCGCCTCCCTTTCTAAATTGGCCAAGTGGAACGCGGTCAGCATGAAAGTTAACAACGAGGTAAGTCTCTAAGGAATCTTCCAGGATCAAGTCAAAACTTACCTATAATTCTCCTCTAAATCAGAATCCCGATTTTATCAAGGAATTTAAATATGGTTTGTTTGATTTACCGACGCTGATGAGTGATCCAATGGTTACCACTGGTATGGGCAATTTTATTGCAATGCTCGACCAGGTTCCCGATCTGAAGAAGTACAAGCCGCACTTTGAGAAAATAAAGGACAATTATTTGGACCGCACACGTGCCGTGATGACGGAGTATCGCACTGATCCAAAATCGGATGAACCCTACGTCCTCGCCCACGGAGACTTCCATCTGCGGAACATGATGTTCAGGCACAACAAGGAGACCGGGGCATTTGAGGATGTCATGTTGGTGGACTTCCAGATCTGTAATTTAGCTCCCATAAGTGTCGACTTGATTTACTCCATATACATGCTGATGGAGCCAGAGCAGCGCTGGAACCATGGCGAAAAGTTGATAAACTTTTACATCACCATTTTGGTGGATACTCTAAAGAAAATTGGATACAAAGGCACCATGCCCACCCAGGAGAAGATCTGGCAGCAGATCCATCGCCACAAAATCTATGGTGAGTAGTTGCTGATCTATAAAGTTCGAATTGTTGAGCTAACAGCCCTTGGTATCCTTCCTTTCAGAGTTCTTCTTGATTACAACTGTTTTGCCTATGATATTGGCCGTCAAATCGAATACCCTAAAGATTGTTGACATGATTCAAGATCCGATAACACGCCAGAAGACTTACCTCATGGATTCATACGTTGAAGAAGCAAGGAAACTGTTGCCCATGTTCGAGAAAATGGGTTACTTTAAGGATCTATAGGGCAAGACAACAATTGGACAACTTACAAAGCACAATACACCATCATCCGAATGTCTTTCGAGTATCTGTAGATTACGAACGTTTTGTTATCTCTATATTGAATAGGGAGTGGGAAACGATATGTTAACATTATATAACAAATAAAGCAATGAAATAATCTGACTAGTATTTCTGTCGTACTTATTGAATTCAGCTGAATTCATTGAATTCTGACTGTAACTGGTATCTACTACTACTAATACTACTACTCTATTATCTTATCACTGTCTTTTGGTTGTAACTGTAAACATTTTTAAATATATTTAAACAGATTTTGGACAGTTATTTGTACAACATTTACGTTTGATTGTGCTCTTCCTAAAACAAATGCTGGGATATACCCATGGAACGAATGAATATATGAATACTATTGTTCGATAGTTGATCCCTCGCTGCTCATATGGATCATCTTATTTGTCCAAAAATCCAGAGAGCTCAAACTCCTTAATGGTGCGCTGCAAGAACGCACGATATTTTGGATTCTCGACATTCTCCCGGCGGAACTGGTCGCCGCTCTCGGTGCGGGAGTTAAGGTCTTCGAGATTTTCAAAGCCAGCTCCTTCGCGGAAGATCAAAGGCGTGAGGCAAGTGGCGCCAATTACACCTAGAATAGAGCAGGCATATAGGAGGATGATCCAAAAAAGTGATAGGAGAAATTACTCACCCATCAGGCTAGTGTTGATAAGATCGATATGGATATCTTTGAGTGTGGGAATGTTTCCTTGATATTTGAGCTTCTCCAGGGTCTGCTTCAGCACCTGATGGTACGTCCTTACAATGTATTTGAAGTGCACCTTGCGCACATTCTCATTGAGAGAGCCGTAGAGGAAGTAGTTGAGGTCTATGGCTGGAGATCCCACATAAGCCAATTGGTAATCCAACTAGAGAAATAAACGGATAGTAAATTGTGGAGTTTGAAAGATTGAATGATGACTCTACTTACAGTCACCACATCATCGGGCTCCTTGGTCTCGTTGTTGATGTGAAACAGAAGATTGTTGATCCACAGATCCGTGAGGTTGAACACACGGAAACCCTTCTCGCTTTCATCAAACATGGCCAGAGCTCTCTGGAGCACATTCTCGGCCAGAATGAACATCTTCTCGGTGATCTCCTCGTAGCCCTTCCAGTGGGCCAGCTCCTCCGCCACGCAGCGAATGTTCACGGGGAAGTAGGTGAGGAAGTCCCGCCTATCGGGGTTCCGGGAAATGGGCGCCTCATCGAAGAACTCCAAGACTTCGGGACTCTCCTTGGCTATAACGGCACTGCAGGCATGCAGCTTGGCTATCTTCTCGACGGTGGGCAGAACGTAGTCCAGGTTCAGGAGACGACCCCGCTCGAAGTTCTCAAAGCCGCTCATCTGCATATCTTCCAGGATAAGGAACGGTTCCGGCGACTCCGTTGTGTAGTAGCAAGCGGGAGCAATCTTGCTCTTGTCACCAATGGACTCCAGCAGTGCTTGCACCCTTGGGAGCACCTCCTTGTAGGAGAGGATCTCACGCTTGAAAAGCTTGCTGCGCTGGGCCACGGCTCCTGTTTGTCCCTTGGGGTGGTCTTTGATGATCACCGAGAACTTGCTCTTGGCCGCCTCGCCTCGCTGCAGATTGAAGGTGGCCCGGTGCATTTCGCTGGCAAAGCCCGCCGCCGTGTCTCCCACCTGGGCGCTCTTCACCAGCAGCTCGCTAACGGCCAGCGTTTCCTCCTTGAAATGCTCCTTGAGCACATCCTGCAGGAACTCCACCGTCAGCCACTCGGGTGCAATGTAGTTCTTCGTGCCGGTTCCCATTTTGCTGTGTTTTTCTTTTATTTTTTCAAGTCACCTGACTGCAACGCGTTCCTAAAAATTACCCCGAATCAGCTGGCGCGACCGTCTCAGAGAGCTTTTAAAGTTAGAGTGTGGGGCGGAACATGTGACAGCGAAAGCTCTCTCTGTGTTGATTGTCTGGCAAGGGGTACATTAAGTGTAAGGTAAGTCAGTTTGATGGGGAGGCACCAATTCGGGCGAGAATATTTAATATAATTTAATTTATTAAGTATTTTGCGGAATTCTCGCTCATCAAATATGCAATGAAATATGGAGCTCTCTTTTCCTCACCTCATTTTAATACCTCTTGCGCTTTGCCCCAATCTTTTCTCAGTTATTTGTGGAACATATGAAGCGCAATGTGAAATTGTTGCTGTTGTGGAACTAATGCCCCGCTCTCTCTCTCTCTCTCTCTGTCTTCATTGGCCATGTTTCTAAATGGAAACAGCTGTTGTTTGTCTCTACAAAAAGTTATTTCCAACTCAATAGGAATTTCCATAAACTCTCCTTCAATAGGGCATAGACCCGGTATGATAAGAAGGCAGCGCAACGCTTACTAACGAAAACAAAAACCCACTTGATTTCTTTGGCTTATTTTCTTAAAACGTATAATAGACAAACATTGCCGCAGCTAAACAAAAGATAAATCTTTAAGATAGTCAAAGTCACTCACAAAATACAGCAGAATTACAAACATACATATACATATGTACATAAATATATACATTTAAGTAGAATCGCATTCAAAAGTCTAAAATGCCACGCCTATAGAGGAACGGTAATATGCTTAGAGCAGAGCGGACGTACAGGGGATTCGTGTAGACCTTGGAGCGGAAGCGATCTCCCTCCTCGTCCGCCTGCATGAGTAACTGGAGACTCGCCTCCGTGTCAACGGGCAGAAGGATAAACACCAGATGAGTGAAGGTCGTAAAGTACCCTATAAACATAAGAAAAGAGTTACAAATAAGAAAACATAAGACTCCAGTGCTTAGCTCTCCACTCACCCCAAAAACCATACTTGATCATGCTCATGTGGAGCTCCCTTAACAGAGGCATTCGTTCGGTGTAGTTCAGGATCTTTAGGCAGCGCACCAGATGAGTGTGATAGATCCTAACGAAGCAATCAAAGTGCTTGATCCGTATGCTATGATGGGCCGAGCAGATGATCAACTCCCACAGATCCTGCGAGGGACTGCCCCACTTGCACAGTTGAAAGTCCACAAAACGCAGTTGATTGATCTCCCCGGATTGGGTATAGCTTAGCATTATATTACTAGACCAAAAGTCCCCATGATTTAGCACTTTAAACTCCTGGGGATTGGTGTTAAAGCAGCGGGCCACAGATTGCACAAATTGATCGGCTGTCGGCTGGGCGAACATTATTGGTCTCCTTTGGTGGATAATTACCCATTAAATCTCTACTTACAATGCGACTCACGTACTGTTCATGTTCTGGCAGACCCCATTTGGCCATGGCCGCCTTGTAGCTCTGGACACGGGCATGATATGACTTGGATTTGTTGTAGTTGGCGGGCAGGTAAGTACGTTGAAAATCCTCCGGAAAGGGGCCGTTCCGCTGTCTCCACACAGCGCTGGCCGCATGGAATTCCGCTAGTTTCTCGAGCACCCTTCTCATGTGCGGCATATCGAAGCCCTTGAGACGATTGATATTACGAAACTTCTTCGTTTTGAGATCCTCCTGGACGAGACAGATGCGTCCATTGACATTCTCCGACCAGTGGCATTTGGGGGCAAACTGTACCTCCAGGCCCGACTGCTCGTAGAGCTTCTCCAATTGTGGTATAATCAGATCGTACATTTGCTTCTCCTTGGGAAAGATATTCAGGGTGTTGACAAACCCATTGCCTTGGGCATCGTCCAGCATGGTCTTCAGCACGTAGGATTTCTGCTGAGAGAAACCGTCTGTGGCCGTGTGAATGAGGTAATTGTTAGAGTAAACAACAACCTGTCAAGGGTCCACGTCCACCCCCTTCTTCTCACCTTTCATTTCAATGTCGACGATAATGCGCATCAGCAGCGATGTATAGGTCTCGCCCGGAGGCGTGGCCGGTATAATTGAGAGATTCAAGATGCGTCGGAACTCTTTCAGCTCCCGCTTCAGCAGCTTCTTGAAGTAGGCCTCGTTGACCCACTCCGGTATGCGAACATTATGGGTGGTGCAGAACTTGTTGCTGTTATCGGGCATTCTGATGGGGGACTTCACTTGACTCTGCTTTCGGATCGTTCGGAAGTTCTCTGTGCTCTGGTGGCGCCTGGTGTTGTTCTCGAACCGAACAGTGGGGTGCAACTGTTTTTCTGGCGTTCTGTTTTGCCTGTTCTTATCGAGAATGTTGTTTCTTATTTCGGTTTTGTTGCTTGTGTTGGCAAGGTAAACGCTCACTTATCAGGCAATGCCAATTGCCATTGCCCGCCCCGTCTAACTGGTTCGTCAACAGCTCGGACATTGAGCATCGCGTTCATCGCGCTCGTTTGTTGATTTGTTTTGGCCCAAAACTCGCTCTCCCATCGAGACACAGCCGAAGGCACAAGCGATACTGTGATAATTGAAAGAGCTTTTCCCCTCTACATATATTTATTAGAGGTATGTGGGATGGACGCGTCTTATCAGCATTGATGATGATGTAAATGCCTGATAGCCGGCTGGGTAGGTGTGGGGAAGCTCTTCTATCTTCTGGGGGTGCAAATGTTATTCCTTGCTTGATGGACGTATCTCTCAGACCCTAAACTCTCTACTGTCTGTTGAGATGCCCCTAAGATGGCTTCCCCATTTCCATTCCAATCGAAACTATTTCAAGTACCGCCGATACGAACTATCAATTGATTGGAAGCTTGTTGAAACCAGATTCAATATACGCACTAATTTATTCAATGGAAAGAATGGGAAATGCATCGGCATTCATTCGTAGTCGCTAAAGTTGAACAGTCCCCGATTGCAGTAGAAGGGATACACCTCTTTGATGATCTCCACAAATGCTGGATTCGTATACAGCCGCGTGCGGAAACTCCTACCAGCCTCATCCTGGGACATGAGAGTGTGCAGATTGGTATTCCTGTCACTGGGCAGCAAAACTGCAGATAGATGACTCATCAACGGAAAGAAAGCTGAAATGAAAGTGCATCTAAAGAGGGGTTCAACTGTCTAGTCTTTAGGGTCAACCCACCATAAAAGGAATTGTTCTTTTTGTAGAGGGCAGCCTGTAAATCCCTAAGTTGGGGCAGCGACTTCTTGTAGCTAAGTATGCCCAGGCAATCGATGAGATGTTCCCAATAGATTCTCACAAAATTCTCATACTCCCTGAGGCGCAGATCTTTTCCTGCTGAAATTGTGATGACGAAGAGCAGATCCTGCCCAGGACTACCCCATTTGCAGTGCTGAAAGTCCAAGAGGAGAGCTCTGTCCAAGCCGTCATTCGAATTGTACCTAAAGAGAATATTGCTGGACCAAAAGTCGCCATGAGTGAGGACATTAAAGTCATTGGCATCGGTCCTCAGGGATTCCAAACACATTTGCACGTACTGCTCCGGAGTGGGCTGCAATGGAGATGAAAATGTTTTGGAACTGTCATTTTTATTTATGAGAAGAGACCTACGAAATTCTTTAAATATCTCTCCTCGATTCCCCAGGTCTTCATGGCTGCTGTGTACTCTGTAACCTTTGCTAGGAATCCTCGTTTGCTATGCTCCGTGTTATCCTTATGGGCAAAGCCATGCTCAAAGTCGATGGGATACGATCCATGGCGATTCTCGTAGACAACACTGGCGGCATGGAGTTCTGCCAGCTTACGAAGGCTCATGGATATGTGTGGCATATCCAAGCCCTTGCTGCGATCCACAGTTTCGAATTCCTGCGATGACAAATCCTCAAATATGAAGTACAGATAGCCATTCATTTCTCCAACTTCCAAACACTTGGGCGCCAGCTGAATGGAATGTCCAGCCTCTAGGTAGAGCTGCTCAAAGGCGGGTAAATAGGTGGCGTACATTTGCTGCTCCTTTTGAAAGTATCGGAACTCCTCCACGAGCCTTCCACCTTTGTCGAACTCGAGGGTGGTCTTGACCACATAGCTCTGAGTTTTAAGACTACCATCTAGGAGATGTTTAGGGAATATAATCGTAATCCTTGATGCTACAATATCTCCTCCTACCTTTTAGTTCCAAGTGCAGATGGACGCGCACCAAAATGGAGGTGAAATTACTGCCTGGAGGGATGGCAGCCACAGGTGTAAACTCTAGAATTCGACTATAATGAGGCACATCTTTGGCCAGCACTGTCTTGAATTTGTCTTCGTTTAACCATTTGGGAATGACCAGATTTTCGTTTGGGTTCTCTATCTTTGACATGGCTCTGATCTCAGACTAATCTTGACTGAACACACGACTCGACTGACTCTGAAGCACAGCAAAGCATTATCCAGCACAGATGGCATATCATGCACAGATAAAACTAATAATTAAACGCTTCGAGATAAACTATCTCACTATCTACAGTTTATTTGCCAGCAAAATAATGTTCATAAAGTAATCAGACATCGTAATCACTAAAGTTAAGCAAACCCCGATTGTACAGAAAGGGATATAGATCCTTCATTACACTGGCAAAGGCAGGATTCGACACGAGACGCAAACGCAGGCTTTCGCCCTCTTCGTTTTCAGCAGACAAATTGTGCAGATTGCTGTCCTTATCGGTGGGGAATAATATGATTGGCAAGTGGTTCATCAAAGCAAAGAATGCTGTGCAGAGAGAGAGGAACATCTGTAAGTTATACGTTAAGGAATCTCCTACCAAAACCCACCATAAAATGAGTTCTCCTTCGCATACATGGATCTCTGAATGTCTCTGAGTGTGGGAATGGGTTTCTTGAACTTCAAAACCTTTAGGCATACAATGAGGCGATCCCAGTAAATTCGCACTAAGTTATCAAACTCCTTTATACGAATATCTGTGGCAGCCGAGAGTATAATGAAGAATAAAAGATCCTGTGCGGGGTTGCCCCACTTAACGATTTGAAAGTCCACGAGAATTAGCTCATCAATCTTGCCGTTTGGCAGATAATTGCTCATCAGATTGCTAGACCAAAAATCCCCGTGATTGAGGACATTAAACTCATTTGGAAGCACGTCCAGGCAACTCAGCGATTGCGCCCAATACTGATCCGCAGTGGGCTGGAAAAGAAAAAGACATTTGGGCAATTCCAAAACTATTTTCCTTTTGGTTTTTCCATAAACTTACAAATTCCTTGACATACTTTTCCGCATCGTCCATGCCCCATGTCAGCATGGCCTTCTTAAAGGCCCGCTCTTTCAATTTGAATGCATCCATGTGGAATTTGTGTGTCTTCAGGGTGACGAAACCCTCAAGGAACTCAGTGGGATAGGGTCCGTGCTGTTCCTCGTAGACCGCACTGGCGGCATGGTATTCGGCCAACTTGTGCAGCGCCCGCGTCATGTGCTCCAAGTCCAGGCCCTTGGTGCGATCGATGTTCTTGAACCGCTTCACGCACAGATCCTCGAAAATGAAGTGAATGTTGCCGTTGCGTTCCTCCGTGTGGAGGCACTGCGGTGCCAGCTGTATCTTCCATCCGGCAGCCCTGTACATTGACTCGAAGGCAGGAAGATAGGTCTCATACATCTTGGCCTCCTTGGGAAACAGACCAAAGTCGTTGATGTCACTGCCGCCACGCTCCTCGGGCAGCATGGTCTTGAAAATGTATGTCTTGGTCTTGACACTGCCATCTGGTGGAGATAATATTATTCTTTCTATCGGTTTTAGTTCTTGTTTTGTGTCTCTACCACCAACCTTTCATTTCCAATTTAATGTAGACCCTTATCATGGTCGAGGTGAAGTTCTCTCCCGGGGGAATCGCCGCCACTTTGGTAAACTTTAATATCTTCACATGATTGGGTTCGTCTTTTGCCAGCACTCCAGTGAAGTACTTCTCATTGATCCAGTCCGGAATGATCAGATGCTCATTGGGATTTACTATTTCCTCACTCATAATAGCGTTTATTCTTTCCACTTCCAGCACAACTTTTCCCGTCACTTGCTACTGAGGCACTGAGCCCAAGTTTTTATTGGATTTTGCAACGCCTTATCGGCAGAAAAAAAAAAGTTTGCTAATTGAGATACTCTCCATACTGAGTCGGCTGTTTTGTTTAGCGCAAAAACTATCTTATCAATCTTATCTATACGATGATTTTACTGCTTTTTACAATATAGTTATGAATTTTGCATTGTTGTACTTTTTGTCAAGAGACTCTTTTGTATAATAATCTCAACTATATTTAATTGCTATAGCAACTACGACAAGTGCTTTCTCTGGGATGAGAAGAGTTTATTGGCCACTTGATGGTGCATTTATTTCACGTATCTATAAGGATAGTATCGCTGTAACACACTTGAACAGGGATGTAATTGGGATAATAAAGTTCCTCAGCAATGAAAATATATCAAAAATCTTAGTTGTTCCAAGTGTATTCCCATTTGCATGTTTCGTTTGGCTAGTATAAATTATTAGTGTACAAATTGCCTGCAACTTATCAGTGTTTGGCCATGACAGTCGTGTATCTACATCAAAAACATTATTGATAGCACATACATACATATGCACAACATGTGTGTAGAAAATATTTCCTGGCAGATTGTAGAAATTTGATTCTATACATTTTTGAGATGGTGTGGACATGGAGACCCATTCAAAAATTTAATTGAAATGACACACGCAAAGAAATATACATATGTACATATGTACGTATGCGTGTGGATTGCGTCTGGGCTGGGTGGCTAGTTTTGTATCTGTTTATTCAGTTAATTTTTTGGCCCCGTCACAATGATAATCACAGTGCCGTGCCTTAAGACGTCAAGCTCAAGTAACAACGCGTTGAGTCATTATTAGCATCGATATTCTAGAGATCGCAACTGCTTGATTTTTTATACCCGGTACTCAAATAGTAAATAGGGTATATTGTATTTGTGCGAATAACGGTTGTATGTAACGCACAGAAGGAAGCGTTTCCGACCCCATAAAGTATTTATATTCTTGATCAGCATCAATAGCCGAGTCGATAGAGCCATGTCTGTCTGTCCGTCTGTCCGTCTTGTTTGTCGGCTAGTTCTCAGAGACTATAAGAGACTAGAGCCACTAAATTTTGCATCCAGACTGCTATATGCTCACACTGAAACCAGTGTATTTCAAAAATGAGCCACGCCCCCTTCCGCCCCCGCAAAAGGGCGAAAACCTACAGTTTTGAAGATAAAAGAAATAAATAAAAACGCCATTGCGTAGGAAATGGCCATATCTATCAGATCACCAAATTGGGATCCGATCGGATCATTATTATAGCCACAATGGAGAAATTAATTTCCAGTGGCTAAACCCACCCTGTCCCGCAGCTTTTGTTGCTCTTTTTACATTCTCTCATTCACACTCTGCTTCTGCTTCACTCGACCCCTGCCTCTGCCCTCCCCCTGGCTAATCCTCTTCCGACTTTTACCCAAGACTCGGTTTTTAACGCTCTGTATTAGAAAAAGAGTGACCATCAAAGTTGCGTACAAGAAATTTTGCTGTGAAACCTATCGGTCATTATTTCACAGAATGTGCAGACCATTGGACCATCAAAGTTGCGTACAAGAAATTTTCATAGATGGCGCCACTTTTGAAAAATTTGCTGTGAAACCTATCGGTCCAAGAATGTACCAATTTTATTGCTGTTTTAAATATCTCATAAATTGGAAAATATTAACTGATCCAATTTGTTTGATGCATTTTATTTAGTAGGCTTTTACTACGTGTTCTGTAGTGTGAACGATATCTAGTGGTTGGCGATGTCTTCTACATCTAGATGTAGTCCTGAGTGCCGGGTATAAAAGTTGTGACGCGTAAGAAGCGTCACACACGTCCCTTCTCGTTTTTGATTGTATGAATCTAAAACTAATCTTTTCAAGTCGTAAGTTTATTTTGACTAAAAATCATTAAAGTTAAAAATGCCACGGTTATAGAAAAATGGATACGGATCCTTCATGGCCTCCCCATATGATGGATTTGTAAACAGGCGTAGACGGAATTTGTGCCCCTCTTCATCCTCGCGCATTACATTATGCAAATTGGAATCCTTGTCCGTGGGGAATTTGATGATGGACAGATGATTGAACACCGCCATGACAGCTGTAAAAGAAAATTGTTTTTCATCTTTACTTTTGAAAAGATATCTAGTGCCGAACGTACCGTAAAGGGAATTGTGCTTTTTGTACAAAGAAGTTTGAAGATCACGCAATGTGGGCAATGGCTTCTGGTATTTGGTATCTGGTATTTCCCAGTAGATCTTAATGAAGTAGTCGAACTCTTTGAGCTTGATATCGTTGGCCGCTGAGAGAGTGATGAAAAACAGCAAGTCTTGTGCAGGACTGCCCCACTTGCAGAGCAGAAAGTCCACCATAATAAGCTCCTCGATCTGACTATTTTCGAGATAGTTGCTCATCAGATTACTGGACCAGAAGTCTCCATGTGTAAGGGTATTAAAGTCCAAAGGATCCACCGTCAAATTATTGGCGCAGACTTTTCCATACTGCTTAGCAGTTGGCTGACAGGAAAGACATCTCCACTGGGAGCTCTCCAGAATAGAAGATCTTTCATTGGCTTACAAAACGCTTGGCATACTGCTCCTGGTCCTCCAGTCCCCAGCTAGATATGGCCTTTAGAAAGGCTTCCGATTTCACTGCCCATCCCTGCTCCTGTAGAGGCAGGTTCTTTTCGGTAATGAATCCTTCATTGAACTCCGCGGGAAGAGGACCCTCCTGCTCCACATAAACGGATGCAGCCGCATGGAACTCTGCTAGTTTATGCAGCGCCCGCTGCATGTGTGGAAGGTCCAGGCCACGAATGCGATCGACGTTATTAAACTTCTTCACGGCCAGATCCTCAAACACAAAGTTAATGCTCTCCCCCCGCTGCTCGGCATACAGACACTTGGGCGCTAGCGAAATATCCTCACCGGCTGTCTTATAGAGAGCTTCGAAGGCAGGCAAAAATTTCTGATACATCTGAAGCTCCTTGTCGAAGATGCCACATTCGCGGATCTCCTTGCCACCGCGATCCTCTGCCAGCATAGTCTTGAAGATGTATGTCTTGGGCTTGGTGCTGCCATCTATTGAAACCCCAATGGATCTTAGTTCTGGTTATATCATATCCCCAAATCTGTGGATTGCTTACCCTTCAACTGCAGAGTTAAATGAATTCGCAGCATAATTGAGGTGAAATTCTCCCCCGGTGGTATCGCTGCCACCGGCTGGAAGCTGAGGATTTTCGCATACTCAGGTTCGTCTTTTTGTAGAATCTGCACGAAGTACTCCTCAGTTACCCACTTGGGTATGTCCAAGTGTTCATTGGGATTCTTGATCTCTGATGGCATTGCACCTTTCCCGTTGAAAGTTTTCCCAAAACTGATTTCATTTTCGGTATAGTTTTTGGGCCTGCCAATTCATATCGAAAAGAGCTTTCGTTATAGCCATATAGGCATAGGCAGAGAGAGAAAAAGATAAAGAAAAAGAGAGAGCGAGAGAGAGAGAGAGAGACAGGGAAGAGGAAGCTAAGGACCGAATTTGATTATTGATTGTTGGAAATAGAGAACCAGAACTCTTTAAACTCTCGATAAGATTTCAAATGTTTTCGCAACTAAAAACAATCTTACACCTGCAATCGTTTAGAAAATAAAGAAATGGCTTACGCAACTTGTAGTTTTAATTAGTTGTCATTCAATTGTTTGTAATGAATTTCTCCCTACAAAGTTGTTAATCAAGTAAAAAGAAGCATCGGAACCGGTCTCAGAAACTCTGGGCTCTATGGAGTACTCGTATTTGATTTTGATAGATCTCATGAATACTTCAAGTATTTCTTCCACAACCAACATAGAATATTACAGAGATTACAGCCCCCTTACACAGCCTCCCCTTATAGCCAGTATAAGGAAACCGTCATCGAAATGTTGGGAACCAAAATAGATTGTTTTTTTTTTTTCATGGTCTAGAAGGGTAATCACACTGCCACTAGCCATTAAAATTTAATGCCCACATCTCCCGTACTCAAAGCCCCCCACAATTTCATTGTTTGCATTAGAAATAATTCGCTCGCCGAAAGCATATAAAGTGAACGATTTTTTGAGTACCTTCATTCAGTTAGGAGAGCGAAATACTAGCAGTACTCCCAATTAAAAAAAGTACAAACAAAATGTCGGGGAACACAGATAGTGAAACCTTCAATACCGACGAACTGGTTGCACCTGAATGGCTAAATGTAGAGTTTATCACAAAAGTTCTGAGCGAACATGAACAGGCTGTCGAACTAAAGGTCACCGACATGCGCTTTTCTCCAGCCAGCGCCAAGGGCGACCACTCTGCCAGTATTATGTTTCGCGCCAAAGTGGAGTACACCACCCGAAAAGGAGCCTCCACCAAGTCGCTAATCATTAAGACAATGCCGGAACAGGAGGGTCACAAGAAGGAAATGCTGAACGAGTCCCCAATCTTCAAAACGGAGACTGGGATGTACAGCACAGTACTGCCGGAGTTTGAGAGGATACTCCGGGAGGCAGGAGACTATGATAAACTGTATGTGGACTGCATTTATCACAGTCTGAAGCCGCGTCAGGTGATGATCTTCGAGGATCTGGTGGAGATGGGTTACTTGGTGATTCGAGATCGTGAGGTAAGCCTCGAAGAGGTTCGTTCCGTGTACTCTAAACTGGCGAAGTTTCATGTGGCGAGTATGAAAGTCCAACAAGAGGTAAGCAACCCAATGGCATCAACTCTTCAAACTCTGAATAACATCCTCTTTCTATTAGCAACCCACTCACCAACGGACTTTTTGATATGCCAAACTTGTTGAAGGAGGGATTTATTAGCACCGGCATGACATTCTTTGTCGAACTGCTCGAAAAAGAGCCAGAGCTGCAAAAGTATAAGAAATACTTTGAGAACTGATGGAAGCATGGGCGCAAAGGCGTCAGAACCCACAACCAGATCCGTACAACGTCCTTTGCCATGGAGACTTCCATCTACGTAACATGATGTTCAAGCATAACAAGGCGACCGGAACCTTCGAAGACTGCATGCTGCTGGACTATCAAATGTGCAACATATCCCCATTGACCGTTGATTTAATCTACTCAGTTTACATGCCATTGGAGCCACAGCAACGCTGGGATCATTGGGAAGATCTACTAAAGTATTACTTCTCCGTTTTGGTTGGTACTCTCAAGAAGGTTGGCTATAAAGGAGAAATGCCCACGGAAGCTGGGCTCTTGGAACGATTCCATGAACTGAAAAACTTTCGTAAGTTTGTTCCCCAGAACTCCAGCTAAAATAATAATCTCGTATCGCTTCCTTTTAGACTTTTTCCTGTTGAGCACATTCCTGCCATTAACGTGGGCTGGTAGGGCGATGGGAACCGACTTTTTTTATATTATGCAGAACGATGAGAAGCGTAGAACTGCCTCATTTCTGGAGGGATATATCAAAGATGTCAAAATATTCTTACCCCGCTGGGAACAATTGGGCTACTTCAAAGATACCTAAAGTATTTAATGTAATCCGTTGATTTGTAAGACGATCTTTGCCTTTAAATAAATAAACATACAGAGAAAGAACTTGCCTCCAAAGCAGATAAAAGTATTTGTTATAGAAATGAAAAACCTGTTTTAATGTATATATAATGTATCCTATACATCTTTCAAATTGCTGAAGTTCACAAAATGGTCATTATCAGTTTTATAGCTGTTTACACCTTTAAAGCGAAACAACAAAAGTTTAATAACGTTTGGTTTTAAGCTTACACTTCTCCCTGAACAGTTTCTGTTCTCAGAAAAGAAAGTTAAAACTATAAAAATAAGATAAAAATAAGATAAGAATAAGAGAAATAATAATATAAAATAAGAGATTCAAAACTGATTTTCTTTTACATAACAAAAACCATTCTGGAACCCTAAAAATAAAAAAATTTTCTGTGATTAGTCAGTACATTCAAAAAATATAATTAAATAAAATTATATTACTGTTGGCATCCCCTTGCGTGTTGTGCGCCTTATTAAAAATCGGCTCCCATAAATGACTAACGCAAAAGTAGACTAAGCCATCATATGTATGTACATATGTACATATGTATGTTCATACAGTTGTAAATAACAAAAACAATTATCTTTTTTTAACGGTTTTTAAGTTAATTAAGACAATTTGATGAAACTGGTAAAACTTCTCAAAAAAAGATTTACAATTGTAAAAATTACTAACAAGTAACGAATTTATTAGTAAACAATTTTGAACTAAATTACCAGAAATAAACGTAACTCTGACAGAAATTTGTGAGTGTAAACTAATTAAAATCCTTCAAAGGGATAACGTATTTTGGGGTAACAAGGATCTTCAACGGCCTTCATTTAAACTTTACTTTACTTTACTTTAAATGTAAATGACAGATGTTGAAAGAATGTAACATTTCAATTTGAACAAATCATACGGTGATGTTTTTACTTATGTATGTATGTATGTAAATACTGACTGAGTACCTGGTATAAAGATGTGACGCGTACGAAGCGTCTCAAAAACGTTCCTCCTCGTTTTAATCATTCGTTTTTTTAGTGACGCTATCTTCACTGTTTTTTTTTTCTTTTGACATAGTTAATCACTACCCACTCAAGCCCCCCCATCAATCCGAAATATAAGATTTATAATGAACTTTGCATCGATTGTGAGCTGTGTTATCGATTTAGGTTTGCACAGAAATTTCTAGTTTTTTATACCCGGTACTCGAAGAGTAAATAGGGTAAATTGTTTTTGTGGTAGAAAGATATAACACACAGAAGCAAGCGTTTACAACCTCATAAAGTATGTACATACATAAATAGTATGTGATCAGTATCAATAGCCGAGTCGATATAGCTATGTCTGTCTGTTCGTCCGATTGTCCGTCCTGATGACCGTCTGGAGCTCAGAGACTATAGAAGCTAGGGTAACCAAGTTTTGTATTCAGACATTCTGCCCCCACAAAGGACGATAGCTAAAATTTAAATGTAAAATTCGAAAAAATTATAGGGTTCCCATACATGAATGCATTATTCTCTACCATTTGTATACCCGGTATTTGAAGAGTGTATAGGGTATATAGTATTTGTGGGGAATAACGGTTGTATGTAACGTATAGAAGGAACCGTTTCCGACCCCATAAAGTATATATATTGTTTATTAGCATCAATAGCCGAGTCGATTGAGCCATGTCTGTCTGTCCGTCCGTCTGTCCGTCCGTCTTGTTCAGCGCCTGGATCTCAGAGACTAGAAAAGCTAGAGCCACCAAATGCTGCATCCAGACGTCTATATGCTCACACTGTTACAAGTGTATTTCAAAAATGAGATCCGCCCCTTCTGCCCCCGCAAATGGCCGAAAAGAAGAAAAAAGAAAACTTAAAAACGCCATTCCGATTGGACCATTATTATAGCCAGAATGAAGAAATTAATTTGCAGTGGCTAAACCCACCCCGTCCCGCAGCTTATATTTTTATACCCGGTACTCAAAGAGTAAATAGGGTATATTGTATTTGTGCGAATAAAGGTTGTATGTAACGCACAGAAGGAAGCGTTTCCGACCCCATAAAGTATATATAGATTCTTGATCAGCATCAATAGCCGAGTCGATAGAGCCATGTCTGTCTGTCTGTCCGTCTGTCCGTCTTGTTTGTCGGCTCGTTCTCAGAGACTATAAAAGCTAGAGTCACCAAATTTTGGCTCCGGACTGCTGTATGCTCACACTGAAACCAGTGTATTTAAAAATGAGCCACGCCCCTTTCCGCCCCCGCAAAAGGGCGAAAACCCCTACAAATCTACAGTTTTGAAGATGCAAGAAAACTAAAAACGCCACTCCGTAGGAAATGGCCATATCTATCAGATCATCAAATTGGGATCCGATCGGATCATTATTATAGCCACAGTGGAGAAATTAATTTCCAGTGGCTAAACCCACCCTGTCCCGCAGCTTTTGTTGCTCTTTTTACATTATCTCATTCACACTCTGCTTCTGCTTCAGTGCCACGTCCCTCCCTCTGCCCACCCCCTGCCAATTCCACTTCCGACTTTTAAACCACCACGTCCCGCAGCTTATATTTGTTTTTTTTTTGTGTGTGGGCGCTGCCTCTGCCTCTACCGCAAGTCAGCAGTGTGTTGGTCTAGGGAAGGGCGTCGAGCTAACGGAGCGTGTAGGTGTGAGAAGTGTTGTAGATGTAGATGACTTTGTAGCATAAAGCTACTGACAGAAGCTTGTTGCTATAGAACATACATGTGATATGTGAATACGATAGAGAAAGAGGAAGAACATGCATTTAATAGGTGAATATCGAAATTGAAAAGAAGAAGAGATTAAATTGATTTGAATTCCGACTCGGCCGAACAGCACCCCTAGTTTTTTATTTCGAGATTTTGATTCTGAACTGGTTGCGAGGAGTTGCGGAAACAGTGGCCAAAAGCTAATTTTTAAAAGTTAAAACCAAGACTAGGTTTTTAACGCTCTGTATTAGAAAAAGAGTGACCATCAAAGTTGCGTATAAGAAATTTTCATAGATGGCGCCACTTTCGAAAAATCTGCTGTGAAACCAAGCGGTCATTATTTAACAGAATGTGCAGGGAAAAAGTACCAATTTTATTGCTGTTTTAAATATCTCATAAATTGGAAAATACGATTAACTGATCCAATATTTCTGATGCATTTTATTTAGTGGGCTTTTTACTTTGTGTTCTGTAGTCCTGAGTGCCGGGTATAAAAGTTGTGACGCGTAAGAAGCGTCTCACACGTCCCTTCTCGTTTTTTGTACATTCTCTCATTCACACTCTGCTTCTGCCTCTGCCATGACTCTGCAGTGTTTGGCTCTAGGGAAGGGGGCGAGCTAAAGGATCGGGTTGGCGTGAGTAGGGTTGTTAGTTTAGATGATAGATGAAAAAAAAGGTAACATTTGACAAATAACCGCTAAGGTACAGATGTAGTACTGAGTGCGGGTATAAAAGTTGTGACGCGGACGAAGCGTTTCACAACGTTTCTCCTAGTTTTGTGATTAATGGAATCTAAACAAAGCGTACGCACGTTTCTATGACAACCTTAAACTTGGGAGAGTGAGAGAGCAACAGTTATAGTCGACAAAAGCAAACAGCATATTCAAAGCTCTGTGAAAGCTTCCACAATTTCTTTGCGCATTGAATATACTTCGCTCCCCGAAAGCATATAAATTGGATAATATTTTGCGTACCTTCATTCAGTTAATGGAGCAAAACACAGACAGTACCCCCAATTATAAAAATTACAAAAAAGAAGACAAACAAAATGTCGGGGAACACAGATAGTGAAACCTTCAATACCGACGAACTGGTTGCACCTGAATGGTTAAATGCTCAGTTTATCACAAAAGTTCTTATCGAACATGAACAGGCTTCCGAACTGAAGGTCACCGACATGCGCTTTTCTCCAGCCAGCGCCAAGGGCGACCACTATGCCAGTATTATGTTTCGCGCCAAAGTGGAGTACACCACCCGGAAAGGAGCCTCCACCAAGTCGCTAATCATTAAGACAATGCCGGAACAGGAGGGTCACAAGAAGGAAATGCTGAACGAGTCCCCAATCTTCAAAACGGAGACTGGGATGTACAGCACAGTACTGCCGGAGTTTGAGAGGATACTCCGGGAGGCAGGAGACTATGATAAACTGTATGTGGACTGCATTTATCACAGTCTGAAGCCGCGTCAGGTGATGATCTTCGAGGATCTGGTGGAGATNTCTGCCAGTATTATGTTTCGCGCCAAAGTGGAGTACACCACCCGGAAAGGAGCCTCCACCAAGTCGCTAATCATTAAGACAATGCCGGAACAGGAGGGTCACAAGAAGGAAATGCTGAACGAGTCCCCAATCTTCAAAACGGAGACTGGGATGTACAGCACAGTACTGCCGGAGTTTGAGAGGATACTCCGGGAGGCAGGAGACTATGATAAACTGTATGTGGACTGCATTTATCACAGTCTGAAGCCGCGTCAGGTGATGATCTTCGAGGATCTGGTGGAGATGGGTTACTTGGTGATTCGAGATCGTGAGGTAAGCCTCGAAGAGGTTCGTTCCGTGTACTCTAAACTGGCGAAATTTCATGCGGCGAGTATGAAACTCCAACAAGAGGTAAGTCAAAAGCATCACTTCTTTAAACTGTGAGTAAGATTCTCTCTCTTTTAGCAACCCGCGATACTCAAAGGCTACACTAACGGAACTTTTGATAAGCGAAAGTCGTTGGAACAAGGATTCATTCGCACCGGCATGACATTCTTTGTGGAACTTCTGGAAAAAGAGCCAGAGCTGCGAAAATATAAGGAGTACTTTGAGAACATAAAGGGTGACCTAGTCCAGCAACTGATGGAAGAATGGGCGCAAAGGCGTCAGAACCCACAACCAGATCCGTACAACGTCCTTTGCCATGGAGACTTCCATCTACGTAACATGATGTTCAAGCATAACAAGGCGACAGGAACCTTCGAAGACTGCATGCTGCTGGACTATCAAATGTGCAACATATCCCCATTGACAGTTGATTTAATCTACTCGGTTTACATGCTGTTGGAGCCACAGCAACGCCGGGATCATTGGGAAGATCTACTAAAGTATTACTTCTCCGTTTTGGTTGGTACTCTGAAGAAGGTTGGCTATAAAGGAGAAATGCCCACGGAAGCTGGACTCTGGAAACGATTCCATCAACGAAAAAACTTTCGTAAGTTTTGTACTATGATTCCTAGTTAAAAAAATAATCTGTTGCCTCCGCTTAGACTTTTTCCTGTTGAGCACATTCCTGCCATTAATGTATGCTGTTAGGGAGAAGGGCATCGACGTCGTTGAACTGTTGCAGAACGAAGAAAAGCGTAAAACTACCTCATTTATAGAGGGTTATGTCAAAGATGTCAAAATATTGTTGCCGCGCTGGGAGCAATATGGCTACTTCAAAGATGCCTAAAGTATTTAATGTGATCCGTTGAATTGTAAGACAATATTTGCTTCCAAAAAATTTAATTTAAAAAAATTAAAAACAGAGAAAGAACTTGCTTCAACTAACTTTGTTATAGAAAAGGAAATCCTTTTTTAATGTATTTTAATGTATATTTAATATATATTATATTTCACATAGCTGAAGTTCACACAACATATATTTATTTAAAGCCAAGAAACAAAAGTTTAATCAAGTTTGGTTGTAAGCTTAAACTTTCTCCATGAAAAGCCTCTGTTTTCAGAAAAGAAAGTTTTAACTTCTCTTAAAAATAAAATATTCTAAGCCGACTATTTTTTTTTAACCAAAACCATTCTGGAACCCTAAAAATATAAAAATTCTCTGACTACTCAGTAAATTACAAAAATATAATTAAATACAATTATCAGACTGATGTGCATCTCATTAAAATTGCTGATTTAAATCAGGTGATGGGCACCCCCGGAATGATAAATAGTTGCGTGTTGTGTGCCTAATTAATAATCTGCGCCCATAAATGGCTTACGTAACAGTAGACGAACGATCATATGTACATACATACATTTGTTTAAATGTACATATGTAGATACATATATATGTATGTATGTACATATGTCATTCATTACCATGAAAAGTGGACAATTATTTGTTCGAAATAATTATATACCTATTGTAGACGTGTGGTTGACCAGTTCTCTCAACCATGATTGACAAGTGTAGAGGCTATCATATGTACATACATACATTTTTTTAAATGTACATATGTATATACATATATATGTATGTATGTACATATGTCATTCATTACCATGAAAAGTGGACAATTATTTGTTCAAAATAATTATATACCTATTGTAGACGTGTGGTTGACCAGTTCTCTCAACCATGATTGTCAAGTGTAGAGACAATTCTGTGGTCGGTCTTGTTCAATCAGTTGTAAATTTCTAAAAATGTATTTATTGATAACTGAATTGATAACTCTGTTGTATTTTTTATGTCATAAAAACCTCTGTTTTAGCCCCTCTAGCGGCCCTATACTATTACCCACAAGCTAACAAAAAACTACTCTTTTGCGTGTTTCCATTTTCAGCCAGTCATGATGATTTGTTTACGAGTGAAACTTGCCAAGGTCCAAAGTTCAGCCATTCACAGAGTTCATCAATGGGAAGTGATCAGATATTTCGTTTAATTAAAAATAATTTCTTATTTATTGCACATTTTTTTGACTCTATATTGTATCACAACATATTGGGTAAACACTAACAAAAGGGACACATACTCGTGCTAGACCTCCAACAGTCCTTTCACTTCGAAGAAAGGAAGTAAAAGCCTCATGGCCTCCACATAGTAGATATTGCTGAATGTTTTAAGGCGCATGGCATCACCCTTTGGACCGGGATCCATCATGGTGCTGACATTCAAGTCCTTATCGGAGGGCATGAGCGTGGCCGTCAGCACAGTGTTGGAGGTTAGGGGTCCTACAAAGGAAAGGAGAGTTTAGATTGGATAAATCTAACCAGCGAAAGTTCAGAAACTCACCCCAGAAGCCATACTTCAGCATCATGATGTGCAAATCCCTCAGCAAGGGAATTTTCTTGGAGTAATTGAGCAGTTTGAGGCACTCGGCCAGACGCTCGTGATAGATCTGAATAAAATGATCAAATTCCTTAACTTTGATGTCCAGCGAGGCGGATGTGCAGATCAAGTACCAAAGATCCTGAGCGGGAGAGCCCCACTTGCCGATCTGTAGGTCCACGAAGATTGTCCTGTCGACCTCGCCGTTATCCTTGTAGTTAAACATGATATTGTTGGACCAGCAGTCGCCATGGTTCAGCACATTGAACTCGCTCTCATCCACCACATTGACTTGCAGTGTCATGTCGAAAAACTCAGAGCTAGTCCACAACTTTTGAATGTATTTCTCAGCATCCTCGAGGCCCCACTGGCGCATGGCGCTGATGTACTGCGCCTGACGCATTTCCCCCATTTTCTCGAATAGAGGACGAGTCTCCTCCGTGTACATGGATTTGTTGTACTGCTCGTCGTAGGGGCCGTAAAGGTCATGGACCACCACCGAGGCGGCATGTAATTCTGCCAACTTTCTCAGCACGCAATGCATGTGTTCCATGTCGAAGCCCCTGAGGCGATCGCAGTTCACAAACTTCTGTCGGCTCAGATCCTCAAAGACCAGGCTGATGGCCTCTGCAGTGTGATCGACGAGCAGACATTTTGGCGCCAGCTCAATGTCCACACCCGCCTCTTTGTAGAGCTGCACAAACTGGGGAATGTGCACTTCATACATTTGTTTTTCCTTGGGGAACAGACCCATGGCATTGATGGCATCCGCGCCCTCGCTAGCCTCCAGCATCGTCTTCAAGATGTAAGACAATTCCTGCGTGCTGCCATCTAAAGGGGGGCTAGGTATAAGCAAATGGGAATTCCCATGAGATTCGGTCTGGACTCACCTTTCAGCAGCACTTCGATGAGCACACGGATCATCACGGAGGTGTAATTTTCTCCGGGAGCCGTGGCCGCAATGGGTGTGAAGCTGACGATCTTGTCAAAGCCATTCACATTCTTTTCAAGTATTGGCAGGAAGTAATCCTCGTTCACCCACTTGGGTATGGTCAGGTGCTCGTTGGGATTCACCGACATATTCGGGCACTGCAATCAAGAGATCAGAGAACGCAATCAATTAGATCAAAGCAATTAAACGCTTCTAAAGCATTTTCTACATATGTATGCATAGAAATTGTTGCGTCATGATGAGTGGCTCCATTACACTGCCAGCCACTGCCTTGCTTGTTTCCTGTTGACTTATCTAACTTTAGAAGGGGGTTGGCTTTATCTTTCAGTTGCGTATAATTTACTATAATTTCATTCATTTCAGATATCGCACAAGTAATCACATGTATATTGTATATATATATGTACATGTATATATATTTTTTTGAGAGCATCACTGGAGAATCTCTTTTTGCATATCATTTAAATTTCGCTTTATTGGGATTTATTACTGACCGACTTTTCTTAATTTCTAATTTGAATACACAAAATTATGAATGGGATGTCCGCTGGGAGGGTGAACTGTTGGGGTTCCGGTTCGTTCCGTTGTCCGACGATTTCTAACGACAAACAAATACTGAACCTCCAACACGGCGGGCCACACACTTTTGTACGCTAAGCCCAACAGCGCGACAAGTGAGACTGTTTCAGTGTGTACGAGTATCTGTGTGTGCTGATAGCGAAACTGGTTTTTTGCTTGGACGCTGCCGCACACACCCACAAAATGATTGAGGGGAGGAGAAATAATTTGCAACAATATAGGCATATAATCGATTCCTTTATCTAAAAATAGTACCCCTTATCAATGAAATTGTGACTATTTTTTGTTGTCCTTTACTTAAATAGCTAGAAAATAGAATCACACCTTTAACATTTGTTTGATTGTAATTATACATTCCCTAATCGTATTTTAAAGCAAAGCATAACGAGAAATGAATACAGATATAGCTAGATATAACAGACAGATATAACTACACATCCAGAAGACCCTTGTTATGGAAGAACGGCAGCAACTGCCTCATCGCCTTAACGTAGTAGGGATTTTTGAAGCTCTTTTCTCGCAGAGCATCAGCCTCTGGTCCGACACCCATTAGCTTATCCATGTTGGAGTCCTTGTCGGAGGGAAAGAGAACGACCACCATCACACCGTTAGCCGTTATGGGACCTGAAAAGGGAATTGATTAAAGTCTAAAGACAAATATCGCTTAGAAATTATCTTTTAAGACTCACCCCACAAACCGTACTTCAACATCTGCATCTGGATATCCATCAATGAGGGAATGGGCTTCGAGTATTTAAGAATTTTCAGACACTCGGTCAGACGATCATGATAGATGCGAATGAAAAGATCAAATTCCTTGACTTTGATGTCCAGCGAGGCGGAGGTTGTGATCATGTACCACAGATCCTGGGCGGGAGAGCCCCATTTGCCCACCTGAAGATCCACAAATATTGTCCTGTCGATCTCTCCATTCTCCTTGTAGTTGAACATTATGTTGTTGGACCAGGAGTCGCCGTGGTTTAGCACATTAAACTCGCTTTCATCCACAAGACTAAGCTTACGGCCAGCGTCAAAGTACTCTGAGCCTGTCGTTTGCTTCTTCAGGTATATGTCCACATCGGGAAGTCCCCACTCGAGCATGGCCTTTCTGAATTGAGGTTCACGTAGTTCTCGTAAATTTGAAAATACCGCCCTATTTTTCTCATTAAAAAAGGATTCATAAAACTTCGAATCGTAGGGTCCATTGAGCAAACGATTGACCACCGAGGCCGCATGGAACTCTGCCAATTTCCGTAGCACACAACGCATGTGGGCCATATCGAAACCCTTGAGACGATCGACATTCCTGAAATTCTGACGACTCAGATCCTCAAAGACCAGAGTGATCCTCTCGGGTGTCTCTGCAATGTGTACGCACTTTGGGGCCAACTCAATGTCCACTCCCGCCTCCTTGTAGAGCCTCAAAAACTGCGGTATGTGGTCCTTGTACATATCCTTTTCCTTGGCGAAAAATCCCATCTGACTGATCAAGGCGCCGCCCTTGCTGGCATCCAGCTGAGTCTTCAGTATATACGATATCTTTTGCTCGTTGCCGTCTGAAAGAACTTTGGAAATGGGAGCTCTCTTGAAAGGAACCTCGCACTCACCTTTCAGCAGAATGTCAATGTGAACTCTGATCATGATGGAGGCATAGTTATCACCCGGCGCTGTAGCCGCAATGGGTGTGAAGCTAATGATCTTCTGAAAGCCAATCACATCCTGCTCGAGAATGGGCAGGAAGTAGTCCTCATTCACCCACTTGGGTATGTCCAGGTGTTCATTAGGATTCCCGTGTTTTTCTGCCATTATTTCACGAAAATTACGAAAGAGACTTCTGACCAAAACAAAACACAGCTAAATTTAGATATTATATAACACCAAAGCGATGCGGGGTGGCGAATTTTCTGTTGTGTTTCTATGAACAGTCAAACAGTAACTGAGAACGTGTGTCCAATAAGTATGTAGAGAGCTTCGGAATGGTTTGATAAAGACTTTGCAATATAATGCTTATAAACTGAAATGGTTAAGGGATTAAAGTTGCAGCTGAAGTAAGAGTTCACTCATTTGATAGTTTGAGTTTCCTATATTTAGAGAAATTGTATTAGCCTCAGCAAGAACAGTTTTCTGGGGGAATACGCGAAACCGTATCATCATTATGACATAGCCAAATCTGATCGAAGCAGGCAATTACACTTATAATTATGGGTATAGATTGTTTGTTTAAATTTTTCTTATATGTATGTGCTCTACGTATTCCTACAAAACGCATGTTGACATACGAACAAAGAGCATGTAAGTATTTGTTGGGCCGCAAATTAATTAAAATTCCAAACACTCAAGTGTTTCAATGCCAATGCCAGGCATACAATCAATCGTCTGTCGAGAGAGAGAGAGAGAGAGTTATGTACGCTACATAGTAGAACAGCAAACTGGGAAATAGAAATGGGATATAGTATATTTAATTGAATCCCGTCTAGTCATCATCCCACACTGGAACTATTTACGCCATGGGCGCATGAGATTTCAATTCAGGTTTGTGTTGGCCTGATTAATAATAAAAAAGAACTGAAACAGGTTCTTAAGTTTGTTGTGTCGTCAGAGATAAGGTTCCCATGCCACTCGACATGTATTCGAAAATGGGCATGATATGGCATGGGCATGAAAGAATGAACGTAGTAGCGTCGCCATGACTTTGTTCTTTTATGGTTGAAAGATGGGCGTGTGTGATTAATAATTTTATGTTAGCTCATAAAGAGAGGAACCATGGGTAGTCTAGTTATTTTTGTGTTTTAGAAATACCAGCATAATCGAAATATAATGGAATAGTGGTGAAATTATTGATACATGGGTACACATTACAATTTATAGAAATAGATAACATCTAGCACCAATTGAGCAGACCGCGATCATCCATCCAGGGCAGGATATCGTTCATGGCCTGAGTGTAATTGCGATTTACTAGGGAACCCTTTATTTTGGCTGCATATCGCTCGTTGACCTCGTCCTCCCATTGACTCATCATTGCAATGGGCAAGACCCGTGTCACCACCACATATGCTGCAGCAAGGGAATCATTAGATGGATCATTGAAACATAGGATCAATGTATGGATTATATGTCTTACCTGCCAGACCATTATTGTGCAAGCCATCACGTATCGTCTTCAGTTGCGGCAATCGCCTGCTGTAGTTGAGAATCTTGAGATTATCAATCAAATGGTAAAAGTAATACTGCACGAAATGATCAAATTTGTCCAGCTTGATCTCCTTTTGGGCAGAGGAGAGTATCGTATAGTACAGATCGTATGACTGAAGGAAGGAATAATGAATATTTAATGGGTGTAAGCCAATTGGGGAAAATACTAACAGGAGATCCGTATTTGACCACCTGATAGTCAATCAGAGCCGTGTCCTCCACATTGCCAAAGGCATCGAACTTCACCATCACATTGTTCACCCAGCCGTCGCAGTGGTTGAGGACACTAAAGTCCGCTGGCTGTTGGTTGTTCTGCTCTAGCATTCGGTCCACTAGGACATTCTCCTTGTTCATAAGCCGTTTGTGGAAACGTCCGCCCAGACTCGAGCGCCTGAGCTGCGACAAATATGGATCCGCATCGTTCAGTTTCTTCAGAATGATCTTGTTGTTCCGCGTGTACACCCCATCGGAAACCAGTTTGCTGAACATGCCGTGCCGCTCCACGTAGGCTGCTGAGGCGGCATGGAACTCGGCGAGTTTCTTCAGCACTGCCCTCATGCACACCATATCGAAGCCATCCTGCCGAGCCACGTTCTTGTAGCCCTTAGCCCTGAGATCCTCCATGAGGATATAGTGCACTTTGATACTATTGTCCAGCTTGAAGGCCCTCGGCCCCAGCGACACCGTCTTGCCCACCGATTGGAATAACTGTTCGAACTTTGGCAAAATGTTGTGGTACATCTGGTGCTCGCGGAAGAACAGCTTTAGGTGGGACATGATCTTGGCCTGAAACTTGCTGCAGTGCTGGGCCTTCAGCATGAACGAGATCTTCCGCATGGTCTGATTTCCCATGAGCACCTTCGCACGGATGGGCAGCAGAACGGTGCAGTTGCGGAATTGTATCTCATCTGTTGTGGGAGTAACATCCAGTATCTTCTCACCATCCTCCAACATGCCACGAATGGCTTGGTTCAGCGAGAGGGCATTCACCCAATCGGGCATTCTCTGGGCCTTCATTGCAGTTGATTTTTTTTTTATTTCTCTAATTTTGTAAGAACTTGCTAAATAAAAAATACACTTCTAACTGAAAGGACAGCAAACGAATCTCAAAGAATTTTGATATAGACTCAAAAGCCTACATGAAGATGTTGGAAGTAGAGCAATGAACGTCAATGGAACTTTAAGCAGGAGTAGGATAGAATCATTCAACAATCTTTTGAAAATATGCTCAAAAAATTAATCATTTGTGTATTTTGTAGCTATTGTGTTTTTTTGCCAAAGACTGTACAATTTGTGACTGAAATTTAATTATTAAATATACATTATTAGCAGCTTTAATTTTGGACACTAAATATAATCATTTCCAGTCGAGCAGGCCTCGGTTATCCAACCATGGCAGCAATTCCGACATCACCTGCACGTATTTGGGGTTCGTATACATGGCGACCTTCATTTTGGACGCATCATTCATGAAGCTTTCCATATCGGCATTGTTTGTTTTGTCAAGCATCACCACAGGCAGAACTTTGGATACCACAATGTAGGCTAACGAAACCCAAAAATTATTTAGCAAATAAAAAGGAGAGAAATCTCTTTGAATACTCACCAGCCAAGCCATGGCGGAAGAGGGCTGCATGGATGTTCCTGAGCTTGGGCAGGGGTCGGTGGTATTGTAGTAGCTTCAGGTTTTCGATTAGATTATCAAAATAGAATCGCACCAGATAGTCGAACTTGGCCGTTTTTAGCTCTGGGGCAGCCGAGGACAAGATAAGATAATACAGATCAATGGCCTTTCGTGGGGGAGAAGAAAGCAAATATAAAAATCTTCGAAGACATGGAAATTCATATGTGATGCCTACCGGACTGCCGTACTTTCCTACTTGAAAGTCAACAAACAACGTCTCCTTGATGGTGCCAAAAGCATCGTGCTGGAACATTACATTATTCGCCCAACAATCACCATGGTTCAGGACATTGAACTCCCTGGCATTGAACCGATGATCCTCGAACAGACGATCCACCAAGTAGTTGTCGCTATCAGCCTGTAAATTAGACGATAAGTTAAATTTAATATTAAATATTTCTATATAGTTCCTGGGAACTCCATCTTTCAACACACCAACTTTTCGTATATCTTCTCAGCGTTCTTCCACTTCTTGAGCTGTGAGAGAAAGGCTCCGGAGGCAGTGAGCTCCTGCAACAGCTGTCGATTGGCCTCGCAGTACACTCCCACCGTGAATTCTTCCCCGAACAAGCCATGCTTCTCCACATAGCACGCGGAGGCCGCATGGAAGGCGGCCAGCTTCTCCAGAACCCTTTGCATGTGAATCAAATCAAGACCCGCCAGGCGGTTGGCATTCTTGAAGTTCTTCTTCTGCAAGTCCTCCAGCAGGATGTAATCCACGCCCAGATCGCGGTCTACCTTGAAGGCCTTGGGGGCAAACTGAATAGTCTTTCCGACATCCTCGTAGAGCTGCTCGTACTTTGGTATAATCGAGTGATACATCAGTTCCTCCTTGTAGAAGAGGTTCCGCCTGCTCAGAATGGCGGCTATCACTTCGTTGCTGGGCTCTGCCTTAAGCACAAAGGACAGACACTTGGTGGTGTGATCTGTACGAAAGAAAGGATCGGTTTATTCCCAGATCATCGTAGGTGGAAGAAAACGAAAACTTACCAAACAACTCCACATCCACCAGCAGCCGGAGGAACAGGGAGGAGTAGTTCTCGCCAGCACTGCTGCCATGCTCTGGCGTAACGGAGATGATTTTCTCAAAGTCCCCGATCTGTGCCCTCACCGCCTTCTCCAGCGTGATTTTTGACAGCCATTCTGGCAGATTGGTGGGAGGAGCAGGCGTAGCTCCATCGTGTCCATTGGTAGTCGCAGACATGTTCGACCTGTCGAAGATTATAGCGTTAATTCCTGTCAATAAATTTATAAAATTTATATAAATAATAACGGTTATCAGCACTTAACCACACATAGGCGGCACTAATTGCTGTTTGCTTTGAAGATCGTAAAATTTAACCCATCCCATTCCTAGTTACCTTTTTCATGCATTATAACTTGTTATAGTTATATAAGGATTACTGAGTCGGCAATTATCAAAGTGTAGTGACATAATGTTATAGAATCAGTGCAGAAAAATATATATAAAAGGGGCATGTCAGAAATCTTTTGGTTTCTAATAAGCTCTACAATAAAAACCTCTGCATTTAATCTATACGAGTACACACAATCAAGTACACATCATTCATATTTTTGTCAAGAGTTTTTTCCGAATCAAGAACCATTTAGTGCAGGTTTTAATAGAGAAGAACACTCAAACTTAAGTATGCATAAGTGCGTCCATATGAAGGCAGACAAATGCAAAGGTAATAAATATAAAATAATATAAATATAAATTCATGAGAATCATGACTAATGTAATATAAAATAATTGGGCCTTTATTTGCAATCGGGGTAATTACCGAACTTTCATTGATAAGGTAATTATCAATCCAATTGTTATTTGATGAAGGAAAATCATAAATCAGGTCACATGTCAGTTCTAGGAACATGCACACACGCTAAAGCGATAATATTACGACACCCATAGACGCTACGGTACCTTTTTTATAAGAAAGGAAAACCAAACAGCGCACAGATCACCCAACTGTTATCCTTTTATAAGGATAGTTCATTCGGATTATTCACAATATTCACTCTAGAACCATGGTTCTTATACTACATTTCGGTTACCATCTGATATTATTTTTAGATGTTTTCAGACCTGCTCTGCTAGCACTCAACACATCGTTATGACCGTATTAGGCACTAAAACAATTTCCATGGATTCCGCGAATGTGTCACCCCAGTTATGAAGATAGTTTTGGACGTGCAAACCTCTTTCCTTAGTGGTAGATGGAGCGCTTCGTGGTGATAATTCGAGCAGCTCCCGATTGACATCAGTCCCGGGCGACAGTCGATTTGAAAGTACGAACACCGAGATACGGTGACAGCCGCTGTTGCCCCGATTTGGCTATAAGTTAAGAAATTCCTTATCACCTGCATTTGATTGAAGTTTATTTTGTAATTCAATTCGCAAAAACCTGCAAAAAGAGTCGGCAATCACCCGTACGCCGGCGGTTGAAGAGGGATTTGAGCGGGTAGTGATGTCTATCTAAACATTTGATATGGAACGAAATGTCGTCTATTGTTTGATTGATAACAGAACAAAAAACCTGTTCTCGTTTCAATTTCCATGTCTTTATCGTGTGCTCATGTTTATCTTTGCTCCTGCCATTCGCTCTAATTATTTTCAGATACTTTATTAATTGCTGTGTTCGTCAGCGCACTCTGATTCAGTGTGCGACATGTGATGGGTAGAAGCCCCAAAATGTTCCTCGAGGTTTGAAGTGGTGGATCGGATCTCTCGCATGTCAACTTAGAACATTTGGTAATCTTTAGAGACTAGCATTTGCATGTTAGACTACTGTGCTCCTCGGAGCTATCATTCAGTTCAGTTGTCTTGGAATGCAAATTAGAGTCTTGTTCCTCATCGATAGCGTTGGCACAACATAACCAACATACATAGTTCTTGACTGCATAAGATATCTTCTATTTCCGCGTATTTTATAAGAGGAATAGCTGAATCAATTGTTCTTATCACTCGCAAAGCACTCAGTTAATAGTATTATATAATATATAATTATAATAAAAGTCAAAGGTCCTCCCCTTTTACAGGGAATTCCTTTAGTGTGCCAATTCAAGAGCTTAGCCAAGAAAAAATAGAATTAATATTCTTCTTAAAGCAATAATTTGAGTGACAACATCTTATTCATTTGCATTATCGTTCGGATCAAGGAGCTGAGGAGGACAGAGTACAGATTCGCATGAATTTATCTATGAAAAGGTATATTATATTTATTACCTTTACATTTGTCTGCCTTCATATGGATACACTTATGCATACTTGAGTTTGCGTGTTCTTCTCTATTTACAGTACAGTTTATCAAGAGCTTTTCCAAGAGAGAGAGTAAGAGAGAGCTTTCTGCTTACCAACACACTATTTGAGTAGCTGCATATGGAGAAGGTTCGTCTTTTATATTGTGGGTATTTGAGTATTTTCAAGTTTTCTATCCCAGTAGGAAATATAACAGATCATAGACCCCACTGGTTACCTTCTGCAGTTGTAGGTTCTCGAAGTAGGAATTCCGGTGCTCTGGGGCCCTCGATTCATTGGAAAATTGAAGTTTTGCGAATTGGACTTGTACACCACGTACTCGTCGAGTGCATTAATCTCATATGCCTTGGCCCCGAACAGCGGAATAACATGCGGAAAGACATCAATACATCTCCAGCACAAACATGTTGATCTTCTTGCGGATCTAGAAGCTTTTTTGCTAAATGCTCAAATCCATCGCTAGAAATAGAGAGAACCAACAACCTGCTAGCTTTATCAAAAGCACAGCCAGAAATTTACGTCGAGCAAAAGATCAGTAAAGAAAAGCTTTTGGATATTTCTGAATATAGATATTTCTTAGAATAATAATTTGGAATTCACAGGTACATTTTTTGCATCATTGTTATTCAAAGTAATTAAATTTATAGAATCTGTCCAGCAAAATTGGCTTTTCCTGCCTTGATTTTCAGAAAATGAGCTGATGAGCTGATCGAAACGAAGTATACACCGACAAATCATTAATGAAAACATATACCTAAACCATATATGTACATTTGCTGAAATCGGCTATTTTTAAGAACATATTCTAGATATTTTCTAGAACTTTTTACAAGAAGTTTTATTTTCGTCTCCTGCCCCACGATATTGATAACATGGTTGGGCTTTCGTTTAAAAAGTGCATCTAATTACTATAAAATCATAAACTATAGGTACAGCGATATCACATTATTGTAATCTTTCGAGCCTTTTAAAGACTCTGTGAACTTGAGTTTCGTGGTGGGCTGAGAGTTTATGCAAATATGCAAATCTTTCATTAATTATATTCCATGGCCCCACGATGCTGTAGCCATGGCAAAAGGACCTCCACATGCTTTCTGAATCTGGTATTGGTGAACATAGACTTCTTGAAGCTACTGTCTTCCTGGCTAAGAAGCTTATCAAAGTCACCATTGTCATCCACAATGGGATCCAGTAAAACAAATCCCATTATAGATGTGCAGCATACCAAACCTGACAGATGTAGGATTTAATCAATAATTTGAAATAATCCCATTTGATGAAATTACTTACCCCAACCACTGTGCTTGGACAGATCGTTTCGGATGCCTCTCAGCGTGGGCAGAGGCTTTGAATATTTCAGCAATTGGAGATGCTTAACGAGTTCCGAATGATAGAACCAAATGAAGTAATCAAATTTTGATGTTTTTATGTCCAAACTTGTTGACGATATGAGAAAGTAGTACAAATCCTGAGATAAATAAGATGATTAGCTGGCAATTGTGATGGAATTAGAGTGGAATATTTACCTGTGCTACTGATCCCCACTTCGGTAGTTGAAGATCCACGAAATATGTGTTCGATATCTCATTTTTCTCGTTGTACTGATACATGATGTTATTGCACCAACCATCGCCATGGTTCAGGGCATTGAACTCATCAGGATTCGATTCGATTATTTTAGTCGCTATATCATCCAGCTTTTCCGAGATACTGAGCTGTAGAGACATTTTTGGATAAGTTAATAAGATATTCATTGAAATTTACTTTGATATTCGGCCTACCAAATCTTTTAAGTATGTTTCGCGTCCCTCATAGTGCTCTATGTACTTCAGCAGCGACTTCA